ATGGTGGGCCCACCAATGTCTAACTCAAGGTTGCAGACCTTCTGAACTTAGCTTTGATAACGTTGTAGATTTGTTATGGCTTCTGAAATAATTCAGCAGCATCTGTTTAGGACAGAGCATATCTAGGACAATGCATATCTACTGCCTGGAAATTTTGTTCTTTGTCCTATGCCCCCCAAAATATGTACATATGCACATCAGAAGGCATGTTTGAAATGCTAATAGCAGAATTAAGTATAATCACTCAAATTTGAAACAGCTCAAATCTGTGGTATCGGTCAGCCTTCCTGTCACTGAGACAAATACCTGCCGCCTGCAATTAAAGCAGGAGAGGTGTTTGTGACTCAGGGTTTCGGAGGGTTCGTGCTTGTCTGGCTCCAAAGCAGAAATCTCATGGCTGCAGGGCCTGGCAGAAGAAAGCTGCTCAATCATGGCAGCCAGCAAGCAGGGTATGCTGGAAGGGGCAGCCAGGAGGGTTAGGAACCAGGCATGTCCCCAGGGTCACATCCCTGGCATCCTCAGACACCCCGGATGTGTGCTTCGCTAACCTTCTAGGTGTCTCCTAACCCACTCAAGTTGATTAACAGTCACGTCTGTCAGTCATCGGAGGGATGGGTGCATTGTAGGGCAATCACCTAGTGGAATACAAAGATATAAAAATGAACGGGTCACTGCAGCTGTAACAAAAGTGAGGGGCTCTCTAGACCTGCTGAACAAAAAGAGAGTGACGTGCTGCATGATTCCTTTCATAAAAACTCAAAATAGTCACCTCTGGGGTGTTGGGAGTTGAGGGTGGAGAGGTGCAGTCCAATCAGGCTTTTAGAATGCAGATTCTATTCTGTTGCTTGTTCAGGGTTGTGGTTAATGCATGGTTTCCTTGGTAACTGAGCTGTATGGCTCATTTAAAAATGATCCCCTTTCCTGCATACGTAGTCTAGGTAAACTGTTTATTAAGTGATAAATGAATACATTCAGTATATCAGTCAGGGTCCTGCCAGGAAAATGTCACGCCCCAATTTGGTGATTGGATAGATTTCACTGCAGGAGCTGTTTACCTAAGTGTGTGCTGGGTGGAGAGAATCCACAAGGGTAGGGTAATGTCCCAGAGCCCGAGCAGGCCAGTATGTGTGGGATGGTGCTGCCTCCTAGGAACCAGAAGAGCAGGGTGACAAGAACACTTTGACAAGGGCTATGTGACCTTCGGTTGAAGAAGGAAGGGCTCCACAGTAGCAAATGTCACCAGCCCCTGTCGCCTCAGCTCCATCTCCTGCAAGGCTTCTCAGCAAAGCCACTTGGAGTCCTGTGGCCTGAGAACATTTGATTTGGTCTACGCAGGTCATCCTCTGGGGAAGAGAGGGAGGGAGCTGGGAGAGTGGATTGGAAAGGCTTACTTAGAGGGGCCCCGTGTGCCTGCAATGGCGAAAGCTTTAAGGAAAACTGCCTAGAAATAGAAATCACTTGAGTCCCAGCCAGCTGTATTCCTCCCCATCTAAAGCTTGCAAATGACTTGCTCAATGCCACTTCTTATCCCTGATGACCTCAGAGTAGCCTCCAGATATCAAAAGGGGGCCATTTGCTTCCTGTGAGCTTTGCTGTGTTGGCCACGGTTGATCCTGGGCTCGCTGGCAGCCACTTCCCTGGTTTTGGAAGAGAGGGCAGCTCTGGTGCTGGCGTTCCTGGTCCTAGCTTGACCCCAGGGCTGCCCGCTCCCTGTGCCTCGGTGCCTCCTGCCCCCATAGCTTGCTGTGAGCACCGAATCAGTTCCCACGTGCATGGGGCTTAGAAACTGTACCTGGCACGTGACATGCATCAAAATTAAAAGTGGAGCAATGGCATGAATTTATCAGCTTTTGGGAAGTAAGGAAGAGTGGGGAAGGGAGTTCAGCTCGAGAAGAAACACCAGCTGCCTGCTAACAGCCAGAAGGGGTCGGTGTCTACGGGGCTGCTGAGATTCTGGATAAATAAAACAGACTTATTCATAAGTAGTGAAAACATTCCATCTAGACCGCGCACACAGGCCTGGAGAAAAATTCTACAAACTGGGGATTGCAGCTCCGCTTTGCCCTAGTAAGCTGTGCGGCCTGAGGGGAGCTGGTGATCTCTGCAGACCTCTGTGTCCTCGGGGCTGTGCCGCCCAGAGCGGGCGGGTGAGCTCCAGGGACGCTGCTGAGAAGGTAGAAGCCTTGGTCTGTGCCCATCTGCTTCGGAACGGGAAGGGGAGGGCTGCTGAGGATGGAGCCAGCACACTGTGCCACTGAGCCTGGATCTCGCAGTTAAGGAGCAGCGAAACTCTGGGGCAGGTTCATTCACAGAGGGGGTTTCCTAGCAGCTTCACAGGATAGAGAGAAACCCTGTGAATGGAGCTTTTAATTCTGATTCCCTGGCACTCACGTAATCTTCTGACTTTTAGCAGAGCTGTCTCAATGGCACATCATCAGAATGCTGATGGAGATGAGGGTGTCCCAGCCCGACCTTTCCTCGAGCAGCACTAAAACATCCACCACGTCACCCCTTCTTCCTGACACTGAGAAGACAGTGCTGAGTGAGAGCAGGATGGAGGGGTGCTGACAGTGACTGGGGGTCCCTACAATGTGCCACTTCATTCCGCGGGGTGGGGGGCAGCTGTTACAAGCAGGCAACCTTGCTCAGGCAGCTGACACAGTTGGTTAGCACCTGCTCTGTGGGCAGCCTGTTTAAAGTTAAGGGAGGAACTGAGGTTTCTCAGAGCCTCCTTGTAGGTGGTGGCAGGGCGTTTTCCGGACAGGATGAAGCTCTGTGAACACCGGTTCTGAGCCTGGGCGTGGAAGTGCTGTGGTGGGGGTTTTACGTGGGGAAAATTCAGAAGAGGTAAGACTAAATAGAACTGTCAAGAGGCTGAGGAGAGCATCCACCTTTTTGTCTTGATCAGCTCTCCTGGGATCGTGGAAATAATTTATGTTTTGACTTTTAGAGAGAGATTCCTACTGCCATATGGCAGAGAAAACAAAGAGAAGCCTTTGTAGACAAGCATAACCCAGGGAAGGTGCACGCATGCCAGCTTTTTTTTTTTTTTGACAAGAATTTAAAAAGAAAGCAAGCCGAGATGATGTCTTTAGGGGAGTAACCCAGGAATCAAGCATTCCAAGTACCTGTCTTTGCTTCTGTGGGAAGTGCTCTGCAGAATTTAAAGACGGTAACAAAGTCTAGTCAGCCCAGTGAAGCTAACACCTTAGGAAAAAATAGGCCAGGCTGGCTCTTCTGCTTTGTAAACCTGACTTCTCTGTCTAAAGAAAGAGGCCCCAGGGTCTTTGCCAACTGGGTAAGGTCTTGTGGTCTGTCCCCAGCCCCAAGTGACAATGCTCTCTCAAACACAGCATCTTCCTTTTTTTTTTATAACCATGACTTTGGCTTTATGAGACTTTGATCAGATACCTAACTGTAAAACCAGAGGACTTTTGTTTTAAGCAGTGAGAATAATACTGGATTTCAAACACAAGACAGAAGGAAATCCCTTGTATTTGCTGTAGATGCCCAGACTACCAGCTTTAGGCCTGCAAAGTCAGTCAAACAACATGAGCATTAAATTATTTTTGTACCTCAGTTGCTAACAACTCAGCCTGTGTTTTCCTGAATCCGCCAGTTGCTTACGGCGGGGGAGGTGTTCTTGTCTCCCAGCTTGCGTGCCGGCTGCTCATGGGAAGGGCAAACTGGCTTCTTGTTTCTCCTCCCAGAACCCACGTGGCTTCTGCTGGCTCATGGGAAGGGTGAATTGGCCAAACCATCATACTTTTGACCTATGAAAACTTTGGCCTAACACATAGGCATTGTGTTAACCCATTGTGTTTCTTTGTTATGGTAGCTGTAGAAAGATAATGCACTTCTTTAAATCTAGAGAAATCTATAGTCACATCACTGATCTAATTCTTAATATTGGCAATTTTGTCTTATCATTTATCTGTCTTATTACTTTTCTCAGAGAACAGCCTCTGTACTGCTTTCCCCTAATGTTTTCCATTTTCTGTCCTTTATTCCTGCTTCAATCTTTATTATTTCTTTTCTTCTGCTTATTTTGGGTTTCATTCAGTCCACTTAAAAAATGAGCACTTTAAACAAAAACTGCATGAAAAAAGATATATGGGGGGGATAAGTACATGGGAAATGTTCAGCGTGGTGAATCATGGAGAAATGTGACATAGGACAGCAGTGAACACCATCTCACGTCCACTGGAATCTCTAACGTAAAAAAGACTGAGCAAGTCTTGGAGACAAGGTTCAGGAACTGGAATTCTCACACACTGCTGGTGGGACTGTAAAATGATTTTGTAGTTCAATTTTATAGCTTCTTAAAACATAAATGCTCATAATACTAGACAGTCATGGGGCCCAGCCATTCCCTGTCACATATCCACTGAAGAGAACTGAACACACATGCATTTACAAAGAGTTAGGAGTGAGAGCTCACAGCGTGTTCATGTGTCACAATCAAACAGAAGCATAACCCACACATCCGCCAGGGGGTGAGCAGTGCGTACGTCGTGGCGGAGCTGTGAAATGGTGCACTACTGAACGGTGAAAATACTAAGCTATCCGTGAGCATACCAACACCGAGGAATCTTAAAATAGTTTCGCTGAATATTGATTTTTCTGCCTTGTTGATCTGTCCTTTGAAAAACAGACGGAAGAATTCATACTGTATAAGAGCGGGTCTATATTGATAGGGGTATGGGACATGGAAAGAAGTCTCCAGTGGGAGAAGGCACGGGTGCTTTCCTGGAGGTGAGTGGTGTGACCAACACTGGAGAGGCCCAGAGACCGCATGTGTGAACTCTATGTGCTGAAGATGCTCGCGATCTGGATTGAGCAATGGTCTCGTGAATATACGTGTGAGTCACAACAGAAATTGCACATTTTAAATACACTCAGTTTCCAGTAGTTCTGCTCACTACAGATTACATCAAAGATGAAAAATTAATTGATGTGTTAGCAGATTATATCAATATGTCCATTTACTTGTGTTTCAGGATGGATCGCCATTCTGGGTGCCATCTGGTTGCTAATTTTAGCTGATATCCATGATTTTGAGATAATTCTACACAGAGTGGAATGGGCGACCCTTCTGTTCTTTGCAGCACTCTTTGTTCTGATGGAGGTAAGATTTTAGAACTTTTGCAGTCTGAATTTTACATTTGCTGTTTTATTTGGTGAAGGAAGAAAGCGTAAAGCTGAGAGCCTCTCTGTATGTTCACTATGTAGCAATGGAGGCTGTGGCTGGACTATGTTATGCTAATCAACTTTTACTTCAGCAACCTAAATGTTTCTGATAAATCTGCTTATTTGGTTACTATGTTTTTTCTTGCTTTACTTTTGTGGCTTGTAAACTTGTTTTAATTTCTTTTTCTATAAAGGAAACTTTGAAGCATAGAAATGCTGATTACACGGATTTGAGTGTCACAGACTGTATATGTGAATCCAGTTATCATGCTGTTCTCCGTTAAAATATTCAATTGTTGTATGTCAATACAAAGCAGAATTTCCTCAAAGTTGGGTTTGCAGGAAACGCCTTGTCTCAGAAGCTTATAGCGTAATGTTATCTTGATCGCCTGCTTCATTTTGTGGAACACTCGGTGAACACTTCCGGGTATGGTGGCCAAGCCTGCGCCATAGACCAGTGAGCATTCTGTACTGTTTCAGTGACAGCTGCTGTCACACATCTGTTCACAGAACAGTTGTTGTTGCAAAGGTTGTTGTTTATTTGTTGCATGGCTTATCTATTCCCATACCTCTATTCTAAATCTGTTTGCGTCTATTTGGGTATTTGTGTACATCTTAATCTTGATGCTTCACTTATAAACACAAAGATTTTTTTACATAGCAAAATAGTACTCCCCAAAGCTCCCCTTGAAGTACCGCTTCTTTCCATCGCTTAAGTTCAGCATGTGCTGTAACTTCATTCACTGAGTTAAAAACCCTTGCCTGTGTGTGCCGCTGCCAGACTGGGAACAGCCAGACCAATGCCCACACCCCGCCATAAGCAACTGGCTTATCTGGAGAAACACAGGCTGTGGTGATAGCTATGGAGGTGAAATGCAATTGGATGCCTGTGGTGCTGTGGTGTTTCACTAACATTGCAGGTCTAGGGGCAGTGGTCTGATCATAGGTTCAGAGGACAGAGGTACGCAGTGTGGCATCTAGGGGGGATCTCCTTCTGAGGGCTGCAGCCATTGTTGATTCCCTATGGTCTTATTTGGAAGTCCTGTATTGTTTTCATTGTTTTGTTGGGTTGGGTTTTATTCTCTTTGGTTTTTGTTTGATTATGTTAAATCCAGTGGAAGGAGCAGCTATTTTGAAGATAGCAAGATACATTATGGCAGCCATTTTGGATTTACTATTGGCTTGTTTTGAAGTCCTTTATTGCGTTCATTGTTTTGTTTTTATTCTATTCTGTTCTGTTTGATTTTTACTATGTCTGAAGTTATCTTCAGCTATTTTGAAGACCTCAAGGGGCATTATGGTAACTATTGTTGAATTTGTAATGTTCTGAAGTCCTGTATCACTTATACTGGTTTTGATTGGTTTTATTCTGTTTTATCCTCTTAAAAATAAAAAATATACCTTCTAATTTCCTATGTAATTTCTTTTTTTTCTCATGGATTGTTTAAAGTTTCAAATATGTGGGAATGGCTCATGTTTGTTTCTGTTTTTGATTTTTCACTTGCTTTTGTTGTGCTTCCAGGGCATACATGGCATGATTTCAGTTCTTTTAATCTTATTGAGTGAGACTTTTTACAGTCACTACAGTATTTAGTCTGTTTCCTTGTTCTTGCAGAGTGTGTATATCCCGTTGTTGTATGAATGTTACATAACTTCTGTGGGCTGTGCTTGTTAATGTGATTAGGTCACCTTGACAAGGAGGATCCGTGATCTCTAACTACATTAGAGTTGACTACATAGTCTTCCTAATGTGGTAATTTTGTTTGTTATTAGGATATCCATTTCAGTGGCTTTTTTGGTTATTTGTTTTTGTTCCTTTTTCATACCATATTTTTACTTTCAATCTATTTGGGTCTTTGAATCTAGCATGACAACAGTAACTCTCGTACAGAGCATATAGTTCGATCAAATTTTTAAAATATCCTTTCAGCTTATATCTTCCTTTTAATTGATGTATTTATTCAGTTTATATTTGACGTCAATACCAAGAAGGAAGTGTTTGTATCAGCATGTTCTTCTGTTGTTTTAAAAAGTTATTTTTGATTGTGTCTTTCCCTGAACTCTCTGCTATGTGTTTGCCTCTGTTACTATCACATTTGGCTTTTAGTCTCCAGTAATTTGTTGGTTGAGCTTTCTTTTCAAGACTTAATTTTTTTAGACCCTCAGGAAGCTCACAGCAGAATGGAGGTACAGCATTTTCCTGTGTGCCCCCACAAAGGTTATATACACACAACCTCTCCGATTATGTACATTATGTACGAGAGTGGTACATTTCGTAGAACTCGTGAACCTACATGGGCATATCATCGCTGAAAGTCTATCATCTCCACTAGCATTCTGTCTTAGTGCTACACGTCCTGCGGAAAACATTTAATGGGTTTTGACAAGTGTGGGATGCCGTGTGTCCACTGTTATGGCGTCAAATACAGAACAGTCCTCTTTCATAAAATGCTGTGTGTTCCACCTGTTTATCCCTCCCTCTTCTCATCCACTGGCCATCACTGATCTATTTCCTGTATCCGTAGTTTTGGACCCTCCAAAATGTTCTAGAGTTGAAATGATACAGTACATTCCCACTGTAGATTGGTTTCTTTTACTTAGAAATACATATTTAAGCGTCTTCTGTGTCTTCTCCTCGTTAGTGGCCCATTTCTTTGTAGTAATGAATGATATTTCACTGTCTGGATAGGCCCCAGTTCCTTCATCTACTCACTGGCAGAAAGACATTTTGGTTGCTTCCAATTTTTGGCAGTTGAAGCTACTGTAGACATCCACGAGGAGGTTTTTCTGTGGACATAAGTTTCCACTCCTTGGAGTTAAACATGAAACAGCTTGATCAATGGGCCCTATGGCAAGGGTATGTTTAATTTGTAGAAAGCTACTAAACTGCCTTCCAAGGGAGCGCACCACTGTGCAGCCTTTTGTCTCGTCTTGCACCATCCCCACTGCAAATGAGTGAGAGTTCTGTAGCCTGTGTTCTCACCGGCAGTAGAGGCAGTAGAATGGGATCTCAGTGTTGTCCTAATTTGCATTTCCCGGATGCCCTGTGATTGGAGCGTCTTGTCTCCTGCTCATTTCTTATTTGCTGTTCCTCCTCCCGGGAATCATCTGTCAAAGTCTTTTGCTCACTTTTTAAACCAGCAGGTTCCTTGGTGGGAGGAGCAGTCTCTGCTCTTCTGTTTGCTTCTCTCCATCCTACAACTAACTAAGCAAGGGTGAAGGTATCAACAGCCCAGTATTCTCGGGCTGATGTTCCTTGGGTAAAACTTACGTCCTATGAGAGGTAGCTGGGGAAAGGTAGAGATATCCTGGTTTCTTGGCTAAACTCTCCTTGAGTCAGGCTGTGCGGCACTGATGCTGATGGCTGTTCCTCCCTGGAACGCTGTAGTCCTGATGTGAAGGGAGGGAGGATCCTGGCTCCTTGGGAATGGCAAAGAGTCTCCACCACATTGAACATAGGGCAGGGAAGAAGGAACGAATTGTAATTCAAATGCCACAAATTCACTCTTCTTAGTGAGATTTAATAGATTTCTTGAATTAATGCCTGTTCACCTGCTGTGCATCCTTAGGAAAATATTTTTTCAAGATACTCTTTTTCTCTCTCTGTCTTTTCCTTCAAGACCAATTATGGTCGTTTTGCTGGAAAAGTCAGTTTGCAGAGTCCTTCATGTGGCCATTTCAAAGTCAAGTTCTTCACATTTCTTCTTATTTGTTTCTTAGTTTTTCTTTCTAAGGTCAATGTTTGATGATTTCCAACAGCTAGTAATAACTCCAAAGCACCATGGATTATTTCAGCAGCTGGGTTTTCCTTGAGGGGTATTTCAAAGTTTATTCATCCTACGCTCACATAAAAAAAGTGGTTCACAGCAGAACAGAGCCAATCAGCTCAGTCTTTGAAATTGCAATGTCTCAAATGGATGTTTCAAAAACACAATAATGTTTCTGGTGCTTTTCTTCCTGTCCGTGGGTGTTTTGTAGGTTATCTGGGTAACGTCTCCTAGAGTTCATGTCGCTTTTATGTTTCTTTAATAACACCAAAACCACTTCCAGCTTGGCAGGGTCCTCAGTGTGTGTTCTGGGAGCCGTGTGGTGCCTCCGTCCAGCCTGTGTGCCCGTGCTGCCTGCCCTGCCCACCACCTCTTCATGGGATGGGGGTGGGGGAGAATAGTTTTGTGAGGAGAGCTGTGTGACATTTATGTCCTTCACTATCTAATTTATTTCTAGATCACTTTAGACTGGAGTTCTTTTTTTCTTCTGTATCCGAGTATCTTCTTTATAGCTCATTTAATTCCTTCCAGTTACTTCTTAATGTTTTTCTCTGTTCTCTGTATGAACCTAGGCAATTAGAGAGCCAAGGTGGGCATATTGATTTAGTTACCTTGGCACCGGGAAAAGGCTTATTATGTCTCAGTTTCTTCTGATTATATTCATTACTATACTGCAGAATCCTAGTGAGAATGAGCAGGCAGTTTCTGCACGGAAGCATTAGATTGGAACAATTTGCCTATTGTTTCTTATCTGTATCTAATCGTACAGATACCCAGAGCAGTGATTACATCTTCTTAGTAACCCAGAATATAATTTTGTATAATTTAGTAGTATTGATTAAAAAAAAAACTCTGTCAATTATAGGGATATGCTTTCCCCAGAAAAAAAGAAATTTCATTTGTGCCTGAGATTGATGTCAACAAATCCAGCCCCACAAGGTTTCTGCTTCTTGATAATTAAAGTTCTGCGTAGAGGTTGGCTGGGTGTTAACGGATGAGGCAATTTGCACGTGGGGTTTCCGGCCACAGCTGAGGGAGGCCTGCTTGCCTTTGTCTCCAGCCTCCCCGCTCTGCCCAAGTCCGAAGCAGCATGTGGCAGCCCGCCGAATGGCTGCTGTCTCCTCAACACCTGTTAGCAGTCTAGAAAACCGGCGGACCCCTAACCTATTGT